ACAAAAATACAGTCCAAACAGTGGACTGGAAAGGGGGAACCAGCTCAATAAAAACAAAAACTATATTTCCGGCTTAGAAAGTGATGGCGACTGTTTTTGGGATAGTCATGGAGTTATTGCAATCGATTATTTTCAAAAAAGGAAAACTATTACAGGAGCATATTACGCATCATTACTTGAAAAGTTGAAGGCAGATCTTGCGAACAAACAGCCACATTTGCTGAAAAAAATTCTGTTTCACCAAGACAATACACCGTCTCACACCTTAGTGGTTTCCATGGCGATAATCCCCGAATTACGGTTTCAACTGCTTGATCATCCACCTTATTCACCAGATCTAGCCCCAAGTGACTTCTTTTGCCTTCTCATCTAGAAATTTCGCTTGGTGGACAGATATTTTTGTCAAATGCAGAGGAAATCACCTTCGTGAACCATTATTTTGCATATAAAAAAGCCAAGTACTGTTCACTGGTCCAAGTGTGTACAGTTAAAACGAGAGTATGTTGGAAAATTAAAAAAATATCTGAAAAATGGTAAAAAAAATAACAATTTTTTATTTTCATTTTTCATGATAATCTTCTACCACGTAGAACTACATCTATCATTTACCTTTGGTATACTTTCATCAATATTTACAATTATGCGTTCAATGTTTTAAATTTGAATTTTCATTTTTGTAATAATCATGTCACCTTCTGAAATTTCTGTAACTTTGCAGAGAGTGACATTAATGAATCCAGGTCAAATATTTTACTTATGGTGAACTCAATTAGAATGTATAAGATATCGAGTCTGCTATGGTAGGTGAAATTTCGAAGGCCTTCCATTTTTCTTTTCTATAATAGAATGAAATCAACTGATTTCCTGATTTAATTCTTTCGGTGATAAATAGTCCAGGACCATCATTTCTCTTGTTGAACACTTAACAATGATAATGTAAATAAAAAACAAACGATAAATCTGTTGGATATGATTTAGGACTTTGTCACGCTTTCCAAATGAATAATTACAAAAACAATTCAAAAACAAATAAATCTGAGGATCGAAAAGTTGGGAAATAAAAATCCAAAAAATTCGTTGTGGGATCACGGGCCAAACAATAATAAAATTAACAATGCATTTCAACAATTTTTAATGAATTATTAACGATCCCCGTAAATAATGTTCCTGCTATTGTCTAAAGTTATGCAGGTACGTAAATCTGGATGTGATTTCGACACTACGGTTTCGTAATATCGCCGAAGAATGTTGAATATGAGAAATAAAATCACGGAGTTCTTATCAAAAGCTCGGCCCACGACTTACAATGGTTTATGATGTGGAAAAATTGCTGGTTGACACGGGACGTGGTTGTTCTTCAGAATAACAAATCCAAGTTTTGTAATTATATTATTTAACAACTGTGGGATGACAAAACATCATTTGTTAATTTTTTTATCGTAGCTAATCATAATGTGATATTTCACGGATTGTTTTTGGATTGTTTTCAACGCCTCAACCTTAGAGAGAGTCTATTATTTTTATGTTTATTTCTAGATCTTAAATTTTCATTTTTGTTTGAATATAAAGTTTATACAAGGTAACTTCTTAGGTGAATTGGGCAGAAAGTGAGTGTGATAATTTCCTTTACAGATAAAAAACTCAAACAACGCTCATAAAAAATTAATGACGGTCTTAGCAGCAGACTATTGCTTCAACGTCAAACAAAAAATGAGAACTTTTTGTCAGACTGTTTACATTCATGATTTACCAATCTATTATGGAACAAGACCATTCATATTGAAACATAGAAGTTGTAAAAAAATAAATCTCAGGATTTTCTTCAAGCGTATGGTATTTATTATCAGTAACTATCAAATAGAAATCGATAAGTTTGAGCAATACATATTTCAAATGAAAGTTAACTTAATTCACATGAGTTGTTCAAAAATTTGAAGATGAATCGCTGATGGTGAATTTCTTTTATAGTTCAAATAATTGAAAAATATTTCATTGATTTTGTTCGATTCGTGTTTTGAAATTATTGAATTCGCTTGATAATTCTATTCAATCTGACTTCTGTACCTTCTATGCACATTTGAACTAATATGATCATACTCCTCATACTTGGAGAATAAATGTCATAACCGTTTTTCTAAAAGAGGTATAGGTGGAAGTCATAAAGCAAAGCCGTTAATATCTTATTGGGATTTGTATCGAACTCATCTATACTGTAATATATCATTGTCCATTGGAATATTGAGATATCGCATGATAGAATTCAGTGAGAATGAAGTATTGAGTTATTCACATATGGGGAAAAATATGCAGGAGGTCTTGAATATTGTAATGAGATAGATCAAGAAAGAAGAACGTTCACCAAGAATACCCAGATAGGAGACCAGAACCTTCGGAATTTCGAAGTAAAGAGATCTACTTGTTGCTGGAGGTTGAGGAACTAGAACTGACATGATATCGATGATGTATGGTGTCTAGAAGTGAAGCAAGCGACTGATATTTACAAATTTGGTAGATTGCAAAAGCCAAGGGTGACATTGAGACTGGTTTAGTGATGTCATGATTAACTTTAAAAACAGGCGAACAAATATTGATTGACTATATACTGGGTGCCAGGAATCATGAAAAACTACAAATTGGATGACTGTTATTCTAGTCACGAAAAATTAACTTTATATTTGGGCTTTGAACTAGCTCTAGAGATACCAAAATCATTGATGCCAGAGCAGATTAGAATATCGGTTAGTGAAAAACATAAAGAATACTGCAAAATACATTCACACAGGGTATAATCTTCTTAGCTCTGCACAATGAAAAAAGAGGCAGAAAGAGCTCATGGTGTCTTGTGCGAATGTGCAATTTATGGACTACCAAACTCATATCCTAAAAAAACGGTAATCGTCCAATACGGTACCTACTTGTAAAAACTGATACGGGAAATAAGTTTATTGTTTGCAGTAAAAACATGAGTAGTTCAAAAATTATTATTGAAAACACTTCATTCTCATTATTTTTTTTTATTATAACACTAGTTGTTGCTCGCGGCTTCGCCGCGTAGAATCTGGTTTGTCATATTAACTTTCGTGACAGACCATTTCGAATAAATAGTTACAATATTTTTTTATAAACCCAAAACTTTAGGTTTCCAACTTCAAAATAGGCGAAATTCAATACAATCTTCAAACCTCTGTTTTTCCCCCTTTGGGGGTGGACATTCCTGATTACCTTTCTTGATGCTTATTTACGCTATACAAAGAACCTACCTGCATATTTCAAGATTCTAGGTTCAGTAGCTTCGGTTGTACTATACCTAAGAGTGTCAGTCAATCGATAGGCACCAATTTATACAATAAAGAATAGCATCAGTAAACATTGATAAACATTGCTAATCCTACTCCTACTAATATTATACAATGGTGAAGTTTGTAACGATAGATAAATGTAATGTATGTTTTTACGTCTTTTACTTTTTCACGCCTGAATAGCTCAACGGATTCAAATGTAAGTTGGTATTTAGATAGATCATGACCTGGAATAACACATAGGGTAGGTGCTCACGGTAACGCGGGTCAAACGGCGGGGAACAGTTGGTATTGTATAAGTGTGTATCTATTTATTAACTGACACCGACACAGCCGAAGCTACTGAATCTAGAATCTTGAAATATGCAGGTAGGTTATTTGTATATCGTAAATAAGCATCGAAAATGGGAATCACGAATTTCCACCAACAAAGAGGAAAATAGGGTTTCAAAGATTGTATACATTTTCGTCAGTTTTGAAGTTGGAAATCTGGAAGTTTTGGGTTAATTAGAAATATTGTAACTACGTGTTTAAAATGGTCTGTCACGAAAGTTAATGTGACAAACCAAATTCTATGCAGGTGAAGCCTACACTAAGTAACATTATTCGAAAATCGAATAATGTTACCTATAAAGAAATTTGCAAAACTAACACAACCGTCAACGACGTCTGCCCTCATGCGTCTGTCCGTGTTCTGGTTACGCTCTTAGCGATGGCGCCTCATTGCTCAGACCTCCCCTCAACCCCCGCGCATCGGCACCCGACGCCTTACAGTAGACGCGATACGTAATGGCTTACTGCGTTGAGTCAAGTTAATCTTATCGTGATAACTTTTAAACGGTACGTCCAAATTAATTAGTGTGAGAGACAAAGTTGATCTATATTAAAAACGATAATTATATAAATTTTTATAACTATTTGACAAATATTTCAAAATATGCATTGTGAAAAAAGTGTTCAATTCAACTGTACTTATGGCTCAGTATTTTGCTTATAGTGGTTACCACATAAGAGGAAGATATAGGTATACTATCGCGGACTTTTATTTAGAAATATAATATTCAAGATAAACAATTTTACGGTACATTATCTGCATGTAACTCCAACGGTATAGGCAGCGCATGTCAAGATAGTTCTAAGGGAACAAGAATTTTTCAGACTTACTTAATACTTATCGTTATATTATGTCCAAAATTACACAAAACTTTTGTAAATTGTAGCCTTTATGTTATTCTGATGTACAAGCTGTATTTATATAAAGTTTCTAAAAAATGCATCTAAATGCGTTCAATCGTTTAGGCGTGAAAGAGCCACAAACATACATATATTTATCCATCCTCACAAACTTTCATATTTATAATATTGGTATATCTAGATGGATATAGATAGTATAGATTATTTTCTTTGTTCAAATTGTTACCTGAGATGACATATAATTCCTAAGTTTGAAAATGTGATATGCATTCTAAATACATGAGACAATCTACATTCCATATCGACTAATCATTCGGTAGAGTACGTGACGTTAGCAATATAGTAAAATTTCGCAATCACAAATACATGCAAAACATTGACTGTAATTCGCTGTGAAACCAGGAAGCACTATTAATCGAATCAAAAACAAATGTGAGAACTCAACAAATCCTTCAAAGACTAATTACACAGATAAGATTTTCTATCACGCGGAATATAATTCGAGAAATGTGGTTAACTGTTTTGATATACGATCGTGGCGTAAAACGATACATACTTGGATTTATGATTTTGATATGAGTTCATATCACTGCTCCACTTGGTCTTGGTTCACACATGTTTTCATAATTGATGGTGATTATTTGGTTATTAACGTCATGTTTCTGTTTGTTCCAGGATATTAAAGCAACCAGGAAAGGCAGTTTTCTATTTGTTTACTATCATGGTGAGTAGAAAAACTGATTTTCAATTGGTTCTAGTATTTTGACGTTGTTGGACTTTCATTTGTATATCAATAAAACGATTGGAAGTGAGATTCAAATTATTGCAAACTAAACAAGATAATGTTTTTATGGATATACACATAAATTAAAACGATTGTAAATATATCCAATTATAGTTGAATTCCTAGCAGGCTAGGAAAGTATAATATTGTCTTATTCATCATATCAAAAAGTAATTGAATATGTAATTGAATATGTAATTGAATTGAATATCGAAGTAGACAGATGAAAACGGATGGCTGTGTCTGAGGGTCAAATTTTACGACAAACTCGATGGTGAAAAACGCATATCGATATCTTGATAGATATCGATATGCGTTTGTCGCTCAGAAACAATGGTTTGTTTCTGAGTGACAACATGTTTTTCAAAAATGTTCATTTTCGAAAAGTTGCTATTGCCTGTTTTCTGTCAAAAATTTCTTGTTTCTATGAAAACATTCCCAAATCACTTTTTTACTTAGAATTCAATGGTGTAAGAAACTTAATTTTTGAAGGAAATATTATTAGTTAGATGGAAAACTACTTTTTTTAATGAGACACCCTGTATATTCCTACATATTTCAATATAGCTTTGAATTACTTTTCTAAAAATGTAGCACACTTGATGTAATAATAATGATAAAGAACAAACAATGAAATATATTTCTTCACAGAAGATGTTTGAAATATCTACCAGTTTGGCGAAATCTTTTCTGAACGTTTTTTGCCGAATTGATTAATTCAATAGTAGTGAGAAAAGCGAAACTTTGCTTCATTGCCACTTCCCATTCATATCTAGAATTGGTCGGAAATTTGGAAATAAGATATTCCAACCTCCCCCAGAGATAAAAGTCCATAGGCGTTAGATTCGGTGACTTGGCCGGCCAACGGGTAGGCCCTTGGTTGACAATCCAATTATTACCAAAATTTGCAGTCAAAAATTGGTGACAATTGCAGTATTATGAGGCGATGGCCGTCTTGTTAAAATATATTTTTTGAGCTATATTAGTGGCAATTCATCAACAAGGGTTTCAATATTTTGCCTTAAAATTTCTTAATACTTCTGAGTTGTGAGTGTGCCATTATGAATGAACGGGCCGATAATTCTAGCACTAAAAAGATCTGCCCCCACACTGAATCAAAATCTTCCTTGACTTATCTGCTCCACAATAGAATGAGAATTTTGTTGTGCCCAAGTATAGGAATTGTAGCGGTTGAAAATGCCGTCACCACTTTATTACATCTTTCCAGGAACCACTGGCAAAAAGCCATGCGGCGTTCAAAATCTCCAGGTCTGAGTTGATGAACTCTTCTGGTACTGAATGACTTGAATTTGTGTTTTTTAAAAATTTTCCTAACTTAGTTTTTGGTAGGCCTGTTAATATTTTCCAATTTCGCGTTGATGTTTCGGGATTACTTTCAACCGTGTTAGGAATCACACGTTAACAGGTAAGACCTCGTTAGTCCTTAGCTCGCACAAATTTCTCAACTTACGAAAGTTGTCTTTCGTACGGGAGCGACAGCTGATTAACGGAAAAATAGATTTTAAACAGACAGATTCAAACATAACAGCTTCTAAAACGACTATTTTCTTCAACCACTTATCCCTATTTGATCTTGCGAAAATGACTCTAGGTTGTCTTAACTCTGGATACCTCTCGTGAAACAAATTGCTGCTTCTGCATTTTCCCCAATTTGTATAAAACAGACTATCATATCCTTATTTTTCATAATTTTCATTGCGAATGTTTTTGAAAATTGAACAAAAACCACTAAATGAATAGCGTCTTTACTGCTTGTATCAAAATTTGACAACCACCACTAAAGTTTTGCATTCTGTTTTATCGCCTACTTGATCAAAGTGGTTTCGTTTTAAGATGACTCTAGCATACACCAAATGTGCTGCATGTTTGGAAAGGTAATTTTGAGCTCTTATAAAATATGCATGAGTATGCAGGGTGTCTCATTATAAAATTTGTTTTCCATCAATAACTATGGATATTCCGTTTGAAAGAATAAGTTTTTCACACCATTGAATTCTACGAAAAAAAGTGTTTTCATACAAACAAGAAATTTTTGACAACAAAAAAGTTACAGCAACGATGATAGATGTTGATAAGCTGTCTTCATCATTGAGTTCGACAAAACTCATGACTGCTTGTGAAAACAGTCATCAGTTTTCATCTATCTAGTTTGACAACAGGAGTTTACCTTTAAAAGTGTCAAATTTGGCTCACTGTGTACATCTTGAGGAAGCTCATATTCAATTGAAAGTCCAAACAGTTTTTCCATTGAATAATATATTATTATTTTTTATATGTTTAATGTTCCACAAAGCACTACTTTTATACCTAGCTACTCAAAATGAGTGACTAAAACCGATCCACTGTATATATGGAACTTCCATATTGATATTTTTTCAACATTTCCAGCATGGCTATCAATTATATTCAAAATTCATGAAAAATGTTATCGTAGATTTCTTACATTGGGAAGTTCTGGAAATTTGTAGAACCATTAATTTTTGTAACAAATAACTTCTGTGTTTATTGGAAAACAATATTTTCATTGTTATAGTTTTTGCAAACGGCATTTTACCATATTTTCCCAAATAAGCAAATTCTACCACTTCAGAAACCATTATCTAGAGTCTAGACTATCATATTGTACCTCTCTTGGGGCTTAGTATTTCTGGTAATTGATCAAAAGTTTGGGTCCTTTTAATGATACCATTATTGAGGTATGGAATTTGAACTAAGGCTGCTCACACAAAAACTGTTCAGAACTATCTTTCGAAATATTTCAATTATATTACTGAAACCATAATAAAATGATCTATGATAACTACAAGTGTAAAAACACAAAATATTGCTATTACTATTGACAACATAATACATCAACCATAATTTAAAAATTATGACCTGTACATCAAAGGATGAACATCAAAAATCATTTCAATTCAGAACTAATAAATTCATCATATCCTGACTGATTGGCATATTAAGTATGATACATTTTATTTATGGGAGAATTATTCAGGTAGTTAGCCAGTAATGAATTGATCAGGTCAGTAACAGTAACAAAGATACAAATTGCTGCGTTAGTTATAATTCGATACATTTTTTCAATATTTCAATATGAAAATATGTTTCAAATTTATCTTCCTGAGTGACAACAAGAATCTGTTATTTATTCACATCTTCATTCACTTAATATAGTGTGTTGGAAACAAAAAGAACTTTGAAAATAGACGAGTTCAGTAGAAATCTACCGAAGTTTCATTTCAATAATAGCACAGACGGCACTATTGAAACCTATTTCCTACAAACAAAGTTCAGTTGAATAGAGTTTATGATAATTAGGATACTTTTTTGGCGGTATTGTTGGAATTACTTTTGAATTTTCTCTCCTTTATATTTTCAATAACTGGTTTTATGACGGAATCCAAATAGGGAAAGCAATATACGTCATTTCCTTAAAAAAACATTAATCCAATACGCCACGTTTCTACTAGATACCCTGTATTTTGGAGAATTTTCAGGAAAAGCCTATTGCATTGATATCTGAAACGTTTATACGAAACATTTTTTTTAAACTCCACTCTTTCATCTCAAACTTCTAATGGAAGCATCGATGTGGCACACACTGTATAGAAGAAAGTATTCTATACCTAGATAATGAATACACGGACAGAAAAATCGAGATATAAAACAACTCACAACTAGAGATACTTCCTGAATGATAATAATGTTCGAAAAATGAGTTATATTTTATTCATTGGTTCATTTCTATTTCTGATAGTTGATCTTCAAAAACCTAGAACGAATATAATCAAGTTTCTGCCCAAAACATATTCGCGTCTATTAACAACCAAACAGAAAATTTTGAAGTCTATGATGAATAAACAACATCGATTTTCTAGTAATATACTGTATGAAGAATGGTGTGCATTCGAATTCAAAAAATTGTTCTACTGGCATTGAATCAATACAAAGATATCAAAAACTGCGTAGACCAAACTACTCCCAATGAAGATACATAGATTTGCACAAAAGTCAATAGGACAAAGATCCTACCAGTGTGCATATGTAGCACACCTCATTCAGATATTGGAGAAGTATCCGATCGAGGTAAATAGATGTGAATATCATCAAAATTAACTGAAATTGTAATTTAAAATAAACAAACTCATTTCAGATACATATATCCTCATTTTCGTGAAGAATTATAGTTTGTGTCTTTTATTTCTCTAGTTTGGATATTTATTGAATTTCATACATGAATGAGTGTGCGCATAAGCACATAAAATTCAACTAAAATAGTTGTTAACTGAATATTTTCGAATAGTTTATACCTAAAATTATAGTGATAATCATTGTTCTCTTATTGATTGATACTGCTGTATACTATTCTTTGTGTTTGAACCCCACATACAAGCTACATTTGTTGTGTTGTGGGTTGTCCAATATACATTTGTATTGTATTTCTTATGATTGATTATCATTGGCAAATACATATGTATAATCATAATATATAGTGGACTATATGAAAGGAGTATACTATCTAACATTTTGGTTGATCAAAATATCATGGTTTACCTATCAATTGTTGAAATAGGTAGGTGATTAATAATTAAAAAATCTCGAAATAACTTTTTGTTCTATGCAAAATTGGTTGTGGTAAAACGCGGTAATAAAAAACGGGCCCGTGAGAGAAAATATTCTTTTTTCTGGCACGTTAGTCTTTTTGTGACCAGTTTTATTGAAGTTTTCCAACTTCCCATATCAATTTCAACAGATATGAGCAATCAATAATCCAAATGCACATAATACTTCATTTCTTTCAATGTCCGAAGAATAACTGACAAGACAATACAATCAACAAATCAAAACAATTCGTTTTCTTGTGCACACCCACCATACAACTCCAAACGAGTATTTCCCACCAATTGGCTAATTATTGTGTGATTGAAGCAGTAACGTCAATTAAAAGGCTGCACAAACGTTACAAATCAGTAAAATGGCCGATATAATTAGATCGGCGATTATACCTTTATGTTTATCAGGCGCCAGTAGAGCTTTTGAAACAGACCATATAAGCTAAACTTAATTATATTTATTGTTGTTGATCGTTGGAGGCGGAACCATCGGACAACTGAAATAAATATTGAAAGTGAAAAACTGTTCTTGCATTCACACTGTTCATCTTTGTAAATAGTGGATGACTTATTTTTTTATATATACAATCAACAGCCTATTCATAATACACGTAAAATAAAATAAAATTTGAGACGTTAGTAAGTTCTCTGAAATTATTTATTTTATTCACGAGGATGTATCAATATCCAGTTAGCCTAGACCTGTTTCATGCATAAACAAGTTATTATGTTATCATAACAACGGAGAATAACTCATAAGATGTAACAGCTCTATCTCGTGAACAAAGTCCCAAGTAGGAAAGAAACATTCTGTGTATAAATACTCTGAGTGAAATCAAAATACGTTTGAAAACTGTATCAAGGAGAGATACATACACATAGGAAAATAAATATTTAAATACATTTCGAAAAACAACTACTTTCCCGGCTGTTATATTTTCACTAAACAGTTTACAAAACTGCAACACGTGTTTCGCTATACAAACGTCTGTTCATACTAGGTATGAAATATAGCATTAACAATAAAAGTGAATTATTCAATAGATCATACATTAATGCTGAAAAAATCTGTTTAAAATATGTTTTTCCGTTAACCAGCTGTCGCACCCCTACGAACGACAACCCTCAGAAGTCGAAACTTGTGCGAGCTAAGGATTACCGAGGTCTTACCTTTTAACGTGTGATTCCTAACACGGGTTGGACGATAGCAAGTGAAGACTAGGATTTGAACCACCGACCAACAGGGCAGTCAATTCGAGTGTGTGAACAAAGCACCCACGCCGAACCGCTTGGCTACCAACCGACTCAAATGAAATACAACATGAAATGAATACGGTCACTGAAATGATGAATCAGATGATACTGGAATACTCAGCCAGATCCAGAAGAAAATTTTTCAGATTTCTTCTGAAACTAGTATATGTTTCAAAATTTTTGATTTCTGTTGGCAGATGATTGAATATTCTGACAGTATTATAAATACTTGAATGTTTTATCAAATTGGTTTTTAGAATAGAAAGTTTTGCTTCATTTCTTTGGTGGGTGATACTATCAGTAATTTCGTATAATGATTTGTTTTTGTCTACTGAGCAGGCAGTTTCGAAAATGCTCAATGAGATGAGTCTTGAATAGTTTATAACAGGAAAACCTGGGTCCAACTTTACCAAGGTGGCGAATAGCATGTTTGTGTAGAACAAAGGTTGTGCAATAAAATTTATCGTAAATGAAGATATGATTATTGCTCTTGGCGTATGAGAAAATTTGATTACAAGCTTCAGAAGAGAAACATTTTCCTTTGAAGATGAAAACGAAAATCATGATGCTGTTCATGACTAAAATTAATATCTGAAGCTCTGAAGATTTCATATGTATATTGTATTGTATAGTTCACATCGTGTCGAACATGAGAAGTATTCACGAATGGACCGATTCCTTACTCAATGAAAGTTAATAATTATTTCTTCAAAATGGATCTTCTCAGAATATTGACCAGAAGCGTGCAAGTTTAGTAGGATAGCATTCTAATTGTGCTCGATTTGATAAAGCCACTCAGTTACTGTGGTAGATTTCTACGGCCCAGAATTGAAGCAGCAGTCGGTGAAAAGGTCTCTCTCTTCAAGGTCTAAAAATTTCGTTTTCAAAAATTTGACAAAAGAAATTTTCGGGATAATAACGAAAAATTACGATTCCCCGTTACCGAACATGAATAACGCCATCATCCTCCGTTGTCCAGGCTCGAAAGCCTTTCAACTGGGCATGTTCCCTCTATCCAGCTGTGGGTAGAAGACCCAACTTTATTTATCCAAATATATTTTACATTAACATTAGTAAACAATAAACTCAAATATAATCATTCTAACTAATAGTAATAGTAATAATTGAAATAAGTTTTAACAATAATAAATGGATCGTTCATCGATCACCATAATTTTCCTTCAACCTTGATAAATAATTCTGCCCATGTGTTATATTTGCAATGTTTAAACCAGAAAACAAACATTACAGGTCCTCAAGTCAGATCCTTTATATTTCATACCGATCAGCTCGGATTGGAAAGATCGTCACCTCTCCAGTATGTCAGAAAGCTGACAGCCTGCTTCTCATATATCTCATTTCTCCCGCACCACGCTCTCTGCCCATTCATTCGCGATGCATATCCATTCAATCCTTTTCCCATTTGTATCTCTCAGTTGCATTCTACCCCTTTCTAGTTCCAGCCTTTCTTTCCATTCTCTCCACCCAACTTTGTCTCCATGCATGCATCTCTCAAGCACATGATCTGCCGTTTCAGGCTCCCCCACCCACACGGGCAAGACACTTTCGGTCCCAGGTTGAATTTAGCCAGGTAACCCGGAAAGTTACCGTGCCCTTTAAATAGTCTTTCTACAGCCTTTCTCGACAGAGTCAGAGCTTCAAATCGGATTGCTCTACAAAATCTGTATAGCAGTCGCCCTGTCACTCCCTTATCCCATTCTAACTGCCATTCTTCCTTGATTCGCTCTTTCATCCGTTTTCTCTCTTCATTCATATCGCTCATTCTTCTTACTTCCCATGTAACGTGGTCCTTACCAATACCTTTCGTGGCCTCCTCATGCGCCTTTTTATTTCCAGGATTATCTCTTTGGTGTCCTTTCCGACATACTATTTCAGTCCGAGCTCCCCTCTAATTCCTTGCTTCAATCATCCTCTGAATCCTCGTACTGCTTTCATTCTTTCCACTGCTATAGCGGAATCGCTGATTATTATCACATTTTCATTCACACTCCATATGTTGACCACTCTCTCTATCGCAATCAGTTCAGCTTCGTTCACACTGTTCTGTTCCGGGATTCTTTCGTTCCCTAGAACTCATTCGCTCTCGTTCCTTTCATACGCCTAGTCTATGCCCGTATGACGAACAGTCATGAAAAAAAATTATGTGAAAAAGATTCGGAAAGTTTCAAACACGAATGTATTTTGTTTTGTAGGATAGCACCCTTGTATAGTATATATGACGTCAATTCGAATGGCACAAAAACTAAATAGTTACTGAACAAGTCGGCAGTTTCAATGTGTTTCAATGAAATCTATGAATGGCTCCATTATTTTCTCAGTATACCTACAGTTGGGTCAATAAAAGCATACACATGCGTCTTCAATAGAATATACGATAAATACTACAAGTGAAAAATGAAGAAATATAAATCAACTTTCAATGAGACAGAGTTTGAAGATGGAATGTATTTATACAGATTGATTACTGAAGTGTTAATGAATTTTGTGAAATCAACCCAAAGTCATAACATGGAGTTTTCACTATTACTGCATTTTAAAAATTGTTTGCTTTTGTTGGATGTACAAATTGATGATGCATGCGTATTCTTCCATTGTTCCAACTGAAATAATGCTTCCTTTATCAATCAATACATGTTTTCTTGTTTTTCAGCCCCCTAATTGTACATACCTCTTTTGATGGAATTATCGTTTCTTCTTAGTGTCTTTTTTCTTTTTGTTACAGATTTTGTTGTCGCCAATGGATTCTCTTGGACACGGTTACTGTAATAAACCCTGTTTTGGACCTGTAACGAAAATAAAAATTTACAACGATCGATCTCATGGGAACCTGTACGTCGACGGAAATAATGTTAAAAGCAACGGTCCTGGCAGTAGTAAGTATGAAAAAAATGTTAATTTGCCGTTTTTAATTTATACTGGAATATTTATTTTTCATATATTATATTTCAAATAGTTTTCCAAATATGCTTGGTAAATCCAGAACTGACGGTGGAAATAAAATATTTTTTTTAACGTTTGTATTCGAAGAATATAAAGAACAGCATTATTTTTTGGAGAAATACGAATTTTTTTGAGACATTTTGCAATATCTTTTACCTGATAGCTTCTCAATCATGTAGATCGACAAAATTTTCATCAGAAACCATAAAACAGTTTTTCGATTGGGTGAGTTTGAGTCAGACATCTGAATTTCTCATGAGAGAAATATTGTTTTATGACAGTTGAACATTATTATTTTCCAGTATATTTGGAGTTATGGTGAATTAAACAGTCAACTCTCAAATAGATTCACATGCTTTTCAAAAATTTTGTTCAGTGTTTTTGCTTTTTTTTTCTTCTGAAGTACCATCGAATAACCCTTTTCTCTTTTTCAACAAACTTTCCTTAGTAAATGAGTACAATCAAAAATTCGTAAAATGAATCTAATGAAAACACTTTTTCTACATCCGAACAAAAGTCTCTATACCTTAGGTAATGAGGATCATCAAAAAAGTTCCCGATATAAATTATTGTTACTTTGTTGTATGGCCATGTTACGATTGCGAATGGCTGGTGTAAACTTTGAAGTAAGAATGGGTCAATTGAGGCTGAGCCTATGGCCAGGAGCGCTTACTGCGCAACCTCTGCTGCAGGCAACCAGTGATGCAATTGAACCGAGGTTTGTGTTCAATAAACCCTACAAAATACAAATAAAACGGAACACAGAGTCAGATGCTACAAATGCAGTACGCATATATACAGACGGCTCAGAAACGAAAGAAGGCGCAGGATGTGGAGTGTACTCCAGATCACTAAGCCTAAGAATTGGGTGGGGAATGGGAAAAAATACCAGTGTGGTCCAAACAGAATTGGCTTGCATCTCAATCGCCACAAAAGAAATAACCAGGAAAGGAATTTCTGGCAAAAACATAACAATCTGCACTGACAGCAGACAAGCCCTATTAGGTCAGGACAGACAACCTGTTATTTCAGGACTAGTACTAGAGAGCCACCAAGATTTAGCCAAAGCTAAGTAGCTGGACTAATGATTTTAGGACCCAGTGGCACCTACGGCCTGATGACTTCGACAATTGCGGAACTATCCAAATAATACACCTATGCTCAATCCCTAAAGAGATGGGATGGAATCAACGGATGCAATCTTGCCAGTATCACCTTGGGAAGCTGGCGCCGAAGAAATATCTGGTGATGACCAGGAAAAATCTACGCTTAACAGTAGGATTTCTGACTGGCCACTGTCAACTAAGGAAACACCTCCATAATATGGGGCTAGTGGACACACCTCTATGCAGAATGTTTGAACAGGAAGATGAGACTATCAGGCATGTCCTATGCGAGTGCCCGGAGTTATCGTCAATAAGATAATGTGTGTTCGACGAGTTTTGGCTTACACCTGTCGATATAAAGGAGATGTCTTCCAGTGACCTGTCTAACTTCCTGGAAAGGACAGGATGGACGATGACCTAGGAGGACTACTCTTTGGGAGGATGTACGATGGGTCACATGTAGCCTAAGTGCTGTGGGCTTACACTCACCCTCCCTACTCTATAGATACAGATACTTTGTTGTATTCTAATTCATATATATTCATATGGATAATTGCACCTGATATTCCATTTCTACTTTCAATTATTCCGTGAGACAATAAACGACGGTCTGATAAGAATGGTGACGCTCTTCATAAATTTCTTTCCGCGGCATTTGATTTCTGAAAAACAGCCAAGAGCCTATTGCTATATACTGGTTTCAACAATTTCAAACATGTTTAATTCATTCTGTGCGGTAATAGACTTTCATCGAATACGAAACCGAAGGTGTGAAACATGTTTCTTGAAACGCATTGTTATAGTCAGCTCAGTTTGACCAACGTACTTGGTGTCGCCTTTTTCCTTTCCGACATCATATGTTTCAGGTTGCTAACACTTATTAAAATGTACGATGTAATGATGTATTTTGGGTCATATGGGAGAACTATGGACTTCAAGTTTCAGTTTTGTTGTGAGAAAAATAATTTCATTAGACAATATTTCGTCACGGGTTCGAAGCAGCCTCACCTTGCAAACTTTATTGAATTTCATATTTTTGCAAGAAAAAAGATCTAACGAAATCTTTTTCTTTACAGTGGCGATCTACAAAGTATCTTCAGGAAGGGATTTCTATCTATATGATGCATATGCAAAAAAATTCATCTGTTGGAACAAGACTGGGAAGGAAATGAGGCACCACAAAAAGACATTAGTTGCAAGGGTAAGTATTTTGATTATTATATACTGTGAGTTCATTTTTAATGTTAGTTGATCAATTGAATCTTGGTAATATCAAAAATTCTTGAAGAAAAATATTGCATTGCAATTTCAAACGGTTTTGAATTTCAACACGTTTCGCTTTTTGTATGGATTATTGTACTCATTCATGCTTGATTTACTGAAAATATCGCCTGTAAAATACAAACTCCTGACTAACATTGCCACTGCTTTTATTTTTTTATACTACATCTTGAATCCTTCTCATTTTTCTACCCTTGTGATGCTAATCTGGACCAGTGATTTTCAAAGTGGTCCAGATGGATCTCCAGGAGTCCACGAGAGACTCGACAGGGGTATACGTTGGCGTGAGCAACGTAGACCCCCGATAGTGGAGAACGAAAATGTTGGCTTAACTTCACCTATCCTGAACATTGAGAAAATGCGAGAAAGTTTTTGATAGAATTTCGCTAGTTATATCTTGATATTCAATCTATTCCAAAAAAATAGATTGAATATCACAAAACGGGGAGATTTGTGGTTATTCCCAACAAAACTATTGACAATTTGCTGCTAATCCATCAACAAGTATATCCCTTTCATTAAAATCATGACTATTTTATTATTGTCATTGTAGTGTAGAATTAACGTTGATAATGTTTGATTTTGTATACATTCCGACTTAGTAATAGTGTAATCATTACATATTTGAATGAATAACACAAGAAAATATACAATTTTTTTTACCACACCAAATGGGGATTTTCTGAAAAAAAATAAGTGAAAATTGATTGGTTTCTTGTGCTGTGAGTGGATGTCGAAAAAGTAAAGTTGGATAGAATCACTTTTTTGATTAACCAACTTTACATTTTTGACATCCACTCACAGCACAATCAAGAAATTAATTAAAAAATCGATTCTCACTTTTCATTTGAAAACTATCAATACTTGTTCGAAACGTAGCTGCGGCAAAATTGTGAAAGTGGTTTATATGAAAAAAAGAAGTTTGAGAAACTCCGATCTAGACATTGCTCGAGGACATTTCCAGAAAGTATCCGATCGAGATGGACTGTATGAAGGTTCGTTTGCTACGCAAACCATCTTTTTCTTTCCGAGCTGATAAATCACGATCATCATAAGGGTGTTTTGATAAACGAATCATATATAATTGGTAATTTATTTTCTTGTGAAGAGAGCATCGCCAAAGCATCTGCAATATATTACTCAAAACTTTTTGTTGTTTATATTGTATTACTTCTCTGTACAATCTTCTTCGGAGCTTTGGAGCTTTTTATTGAAAAAACTCTTTCGACACAGTAACAAAAATACTATCGACGCTCATTTCGTTCACCAAATCAGCATCATCCCAAAATAACTAGAACTGAGTAGCACCACTATATTAGAGCTTTTCGTATTCATCCCACCTCACTGCATGTTTTCTATCTGTGATTATTACATGAGAGAGTAAACAACCGGTTCTTTAGAGTGGGTCCTTTGTCGCTGTTCATATATCTCATCATTCCAAATTTTTCGTGTACTAGTTTCAACAATTCTAAACATTTCTCACCCCTTCTTTGATCGTTTGTGATCATCAAAACTAATCTCCGAAACCGAAAAAAAAATTAAGTAATTGATCTCCTTCATATTGCTAGAAAACAGTTGCTTTTTCTTTGTCCCTCTAACAATTATTTTTCCGTTGCTGTCTAACGTAAGGTAAAGTTTCGAACTACCTTCAAGACTTTTTCTTAACTGCCTGAAATTTTTTTCAGCTACTTCAAGTTGCCTCTCAATTGACATATCTCAATTCATCAACTAACTTCAAAGGTATTTCATTGTTTTTCCTCAATTTTGTAGTAATAATTTTCCATCTAACAACCTCAGATACATTGTCACTCTATTTTATTTCTATTTTTCTATAAGCCTATTGGGGTAGGCTTCATCCCAATGAGCCACACCTGAAGTCAGGTTTGTTTATTACACTTATTCCCTATTTATTCAGGTCATTTTCAAAAGTATCGTCTTTATTGATCTCCACACAAAGAGTAAATTGATAGTGCAAAGAAGAGAATATTCCAAAACTGTTGAGATGAGTTGACCACAGTCAAACCCGATTATGTTTGTATCTAGCTATTTTCCGTTTTTTTAGCCTTTCCATCTTGGTGTAGACAGTCTGGTGGTTTTCGTAGGCCTAAACGCTATGTTTCTTCCAAATCTTCATAAACTAATGAGTCCTAATTGGAGTTATTCTTTTTCCTGGGTCAAGTTTCAGTTTATTCAAGAGAAAATAATCGTCTGCTTTGTTGAAGTACGAAATTCTGTAAATAAAATACTATCATTTTATTTGATATCTTCAAATAATTTAGGCGATAAATGTAGAGAACCCATTTTGTCAAAGATTATTTATAATTGACCAAAACACAATGTTTAGCCATCTACCTATATGAAACTTTGGATACTTTCAAATCAAAACGCATATCGATCTGTACTCAATCATCAGAAAACTGAACGTTTCATTTTTGTTTCAGAAATACCGACCTAGACTGATGCGCTTCTGCAGGTTTATCGACGAGCCGACCCAGAACGGGTACGTAAATTTGGTGCCATCTTTCAACAAGAGTCTGAAAATGATGTTCAAGGCGAACGGTACCCCCACAAATAAACTTAGTAAATATCCCACTCGGGAACGGTTCTTAATGCAAGTGGTGGGAAGTTCGGAACCTTCCGACCCTTGTGGATGCCCTGAGGCTAAACACTACTTTTGTGAAAAGCCCCTTAGGAAGATGAAAGAATTGAACGACATTTGCAATAAGCATTACAGAATCTAGGAAAATTTTTGTTCTTGTAGGACTACGGTTGAAACAGAATGCTGCTTCTTTTGACGTCTATGATATGGTCCGAGAAAATTTTGGAAGTCGAAAAAAGATTTTGTATCATCTTATATTTGGTGCGATCCGAAACTGTCAAAACTTGTCATGAAAAGTGTAGAAGTCGTGACGAAAATTATTTTTTTACGAGTGGAAAATATTTGGCTATCAGTGACCCACTTTCAAAATGATGAATGTATCATGATTGTTCAGTTAACTAGTCACAGACAAAATTATACTCGCAGTGGTAATCTTTGACGGCATTCCATCAACCATTCTCTCAGTAATAAACAGTTTGATTATTTTGATTCACTCACTGTTTTATAGGTTCAGAATTGAAATATTTCCCACTCAGCTTAGTTGATGTAACACCAGCTAATTTCTAATAGTTTTTGTCCAACTCACAAAAATCCCATGATCAAGCGAATGTGTATGATTTAATCCATTCAAAATCAAATAAAATAGGTTGATGATGGTTTTTATACGCGGTTCTAGTCATAATTTTAACTGCTATAAAACTTTAGTTATGCTTTCGTCATCATGGTTCATTACATTAGGGCTGTTTTGTTAGAATACATTGCAAAGTCAGTCGAAAGTTACGTAAAATAGCAATACAATTCAAGTAAAATCATTTTATATTCTTGTTCACAATATTTGACATTTTTGTTTGGATCTTTGATATGAGGAACGAGCTTGAAGCTTTGATGTTCAGAACGTTCACGAACTTGATTCATATCAAGAAAGAAACTCTTGGAGATACGAAATTGCTACAGATACTCATGAATTGGATGAAATATATTATTCAACATGATATACTAGTTAAATCGACCGAAAATCAGAAACTTATGTAGCTGGATGAATCGACAAATATCTCTCAAACATATTTTTTTGCACTGCACTATTCAGCATCATACTCATCTTCTTCATCGCAATTCAATAGAAGAATAAGCTCATCAGGTTTCGTTATAATGCTAAGAAAATTGTGTTCTTCTATCATCAAATTCGATAATAGAATGGAACATCAAAATTTTTTGATGGGAAATTCACAGAAATGGTTCGGTATTTTTTGATAAAATATCAGGAAACATTTGTATCCTATACATCTTTTCCATTTCCTAAGTAAAACTGATCGGTATTGATTTCAAAATGAGTTTTCAAATAATCTTGGAGAAAATTAAATATTCGCATGGGAAAAAAATGCGATCAAACTATTGCATTTCTTCATCTTGTACTTATTTGCGAACTCTTCAAAAATAAAAGATGCTCATTTGTCACTCATAATTCAACAGAAATTACCAAAAATCTGTTTCGTTTTTCGAATAATTTGAATTTTGTGAACTTCATAAGTAACACAAATCATCTGTTCCACTTTATCTACTCCATAGATATATATCAGGAGAGCGACCCTAAAGAGATCTTTTTACTACTTCGTTTTCCGGTTCCTACGGTTCCGGACAATGGTTTCCTTTTTGGTCACTGTTTCCTGACCAAACTTCTTGCTTTCAACCAAAATATCATCCCTGTTTACTTTTTTCTGATAATTTTCATGAATCGGGTTTTTATAAATTCATTCTCATAATAGATTTTTTTGTATGAACAACAAAGAAAAATGAAAACGAAAAATCCTGCTCATCTACATCTACATATGAAAATGTACAAATGTTATAACAGGAAGTACCCAAAATCAAAGCATTCCATGGACTATCCTCAATGTATTCGTTACAATTTCACCAGTTTAATATTATCAACAACCTCATATATAATTCATGAACTAGATCCAGTTATAAATTCCAAAAATATAATTTGAAGATGAAGATGCATGTGTCCATTAAAATATTTCTAGTCTAACATCTTCATGTGTTTCTTCATAATTGATTAGGAGGATGCACGTTCTATGCCATGCTTCAATAAGTCATTTAGAATTTTTACTTTCATTATTCAATCTTTAATCATGATATAATCGATCTTTAATGTTAATTGAGAACAAGGTTTTGAAAATGAAGAGAAGGCCACAACTGATCCTTTTAACGCAAGTATAATTATTACGAGGAGGGTAATTTAGTGGCCTTTGAGAATACAGTGGCCGACAAAAAGAAGGCAAATTGTCACTCTTTTAGGAAACGAGGGGACAAGTTTCTCTAAATGTACACGGTGAAACTATGGGAAATTATAATCTAGGTGATCGAACTTCCAAACTTTTCCGATATTGCTTCTACTTGAATGTTGTTCATTTGCACAAATTTTGTATTGTCCCAACTGTGACATTTCTAATGACCCATGCCTTCATTGGGAAAACTGTCAAAAATAGTAAATTTATCAATATCTAATCTTGAAGCTGAGGTGTTCTATAATCAAAAACCCATTCTGTTTCAACTGTACTATCAAAATTGATAATTTGTGCATAACTTCAGTGTATGATAAAAGTGGTATGTATGTATTTGTACAAATGTTGATTAGTTCATGAATCTTTGTGAAACTAAGAAAAATACCAAGGTTATAAATTCCAAAGTGAATATTAGAAATCTATTTAGCTTAAATATGGAAAAATATACAGCAAAACATACACAAAAGTGAGAGATAGGGAAAACCATATGAGCAAGGCATAACATGAATATATTATTTAATCAGAAGACTTCAGGTATTTTTTCAACTTTTTTTTGAAATTATATATGGAGTAGTATCTAAATTCACTGGGCAGAGAGTTATACTGTTTGATAGAGTTGTAAATAAAACTACGAAAAAAGCAGGCTGACGAGTGTTATGGAAAAATAAAAGTGTATCGGTTTCGTGTCCACGAATTTGTGTCCACAAATTATATATTTCATAAATATAATTTGGCTCCAGGTTTTAGCAATCGGTAACTAACCGACTCCTCTAACTTAGGGGATATATGGTCGAATTTTCTCACACCATAAGAAAGACGAATGCAATTGTTTTGTATTTTTTGTAAGCGATTCACATCGGTTACAAAGTAGAGAAGCTCAATTTCTGACTTCTCCAAAACGTTACAAAGAATCAAAAACCACATGAGAGCTGCTGATTAGTTCTTCCGCCATCCCACGCACCATTTGTGTTGGATCAGTCTTCACCAGGGTGATCAAATCGTTGTCCTCCGATAGTCATCTTCATCTTTTTCAGGTTGAAAACTTTTCCCTTACTCTTTCAACTGTCTTTCTTCAGGAGGACGAGTGATTCATGTCGTAGAGTGTTTTGGTGAAGGCATAAAGGTCAATGACATCTATGCCGCTCTGGCCTTGTGTACCCCTTCCTGACTGGGGTATTTGATGAACAAACTGTTCATTTTAACAGACGTCGTGGGGCCTTCACTCAACCGAGCTACGGGGCCTTCTGAATCGAGTGGGGTCGTCTATAGTGTAATCTACGGCTTCCCTGACTAGTGGGTTATCATGAGTTTCCGCTGACTCGAAAACTCTCTGATTCCTCGACTGAATGGACTGCCGTATAGTTAACAGCTTCAAGTCTCTGCGGATGGCTCCATTCCGCACGAACCATGGAGCATTCACCAGCATCCTGAGAAGTTTATTTTGCAATCTCTCCAAAATGGAGAGGTTTGTCGGAGCGGTTTGTCCCCAAGCGCCTGAAGCATACATAATGACAGGCTTGAACATCGTGTTGTATAGTAAAATCTTATTTCTAAGACTGAGCTTAGACTTTCGATTGATCAGAGGATAGTGTTTGGCTATCCTCATTTGTACTCTGTTCGTGATGTAGTTAATGTGATTTACCCAGGTGAGTCGGCGGTCTACCCAAAGACCTAGGTATTTGACTCGCGTTTGCCATTCGTTCTCCCTGCCTGAAATCGTGACTCTTGTATCTGGAGGAACGTTGCGCCTCCCCAAATCTATCGCCTGTGTTTTTCCTGGGTTCACCCGAATCTTCCATTCCAGGTACCAGCGTTCGAGGTCGTCCAATGCGCGTTGCATGTAGACGACCGCCAACCCCCGTCCCATGGAAGAAGCGAGATAATCAGCGTATAGGGAAACCTTCACGTGATCGAACCTCGGAAGGTCGCTCACGTAAAGGCTGTACATTAGGGGAGACAGCACAGCTCCTTGAGGCACTCCAGCTTGGATTTCCCTGACAGGAGACAGGGTTCCTTCAACTCGAAACTGAAATATTCTGCCCTTCAGAAAAGACCTAATCCACCGGATCAGGCCCCGAGGCAGATCGAAATCGAGCATATTATGTAATAAGCCTTCGTGCCATACTCGGTCGAAGGCTTTCGAAATGTCCAGGAGGACAAGATGGACTGTCTTCCTATTATTGAGCTCTGAGATGGAGTTTTCGACCAGTCTCAAGGCCTGCAACTCGGTGGAGTGTCCCCTCCTGAAACCGAATTTTTCATCAGGCAGAACATTTCGGTCTTCAACTTCTTCAGTTATCCTTTGCAGCACAACACGTTCAGCCAGCTTAGCCGTTGAGGAAAGCAGACTAATTGGACGATGATTCTGGGAAAACAGCGGGTTCTGGCCCTGTTTCGGAATCATGACAACTACGGCATGCTTCCATCTTCGGGGAAAGTATCTAAGGGCGATTGAGCTATTTATTATGTCCAAGAGGTATTTGATAAAGTTCTCCGGGAGCTGCTTCAGCAACCTATTGTTGATTGAATCAATTCCCGGAGCCTTCTTGGGTTTGGAGGCTCTAATGTACCCCCTTAGTTCTTCCTCCGAAGCTGGACGTATCACATCGTCATCATTCTCCCTGAGGATACGCTGAACTCGTTGTTCCAGCCGGATATCACGGTCAATATCATCATCCGGATCAACGTTAAGTTGGAACAGATTCTCCATTGTGTCTGCAAAGGCCAACGCCTTCTCGGCGGGGAAGTAGCAGATGCAGCGCTGTCCATGAAGAGGAGAGGGAGCAGTTTTCCTCTTCTCGAGGAAAGGATTTTCCTCGAGAAGAGGAAAATCCTTGTCCTGGATTTCTGTAGATCGAACTCTTTGGGGCTCATCTTTGAGGTTAATATCTTCGAAACGAAATTCTGTAAACCAACTTTGAACAGTGCGTCGTTAACTTTTCGGGCTCTTTCGCCAGCGCTTTGGTTCAATTCGGATTCGTAGAGAAAAAATGGCCGGAAATCGTTCAACATCATATGGTAATAAGCTGAAAGAGGCAAAAAATCTAAATTTGAAAGAAAATCAACAGAATCAATGTATAGAACACAAAATTCTCTATCGACCAGTTAATAACAGTCAATGGGTTATTCAGCTCCAAAGAAAATACAACAAATATGGAGATGGAAAAATTGTTTTGAAGTTATAGAAACGTGACATTCAATGACGTTTTTCTATGACTATCAAAAAAGTGTCAATCATGTGACCGTTTTTTTTGGGTAAGTAGGCAAAATGGTCTTCGAGGCCAATAGCAGATTGCGGACTTCATGATTTTACTGTTGTGTTTCAATTATTTTCAATGGTGAGTAAGCTTTGCTATTGAAGAAAGCTTCACAAATAACGTTGATTTTAATCGTTAACATTTATTTCAAATATAAATTTTCGAATGAAAAACTTGAACCCGGGTAGTGAAAATTATTGTATGCAATCAGAAATCTGTTAGTCAAAAATGATACTTTGATTCAAGAACACTTGGTAATATTGTTTTGAAATCACACCCTCCCTTCGTGGGGGCGGCGGCGGCGGTGGTATTTCATTCATTTGTCACTTATTTCTTCCCATGCAGAATGTTAAATATTCCTGCACAGCAATTCTTCATTTATGAAACCAAACGTCACTTTCAAAAGACAATTTATTGTGTAACAAAATTGAACAAGAGATGAATTGAACTATCGCGATCCCTGTTTCCCGAATAACTACTTGATAGAGTGATACAAGAGGAATAATGCATGCATAATACAGGGTGTAACGTTAAAATATTCAAGTGACGTATTCCTGATACAGTTTTGAGAAAAACAATTTATATAAATCTGTGTCCGCAAATGCTACAGGGTGTTGAAATTGTTTTTTTTTGCTTTTTAAATATGACTTCTGCAAAAAATAAGTCATTTGCATGAAATCTTGTATCCGGTGTTTTTTGTCGTGTGAAATCATAATATCTTATTTATTCCCATGTAACATCTAGAGGGCGCTGCGTACGCTGTCATTATTTATTTCATCCCTATAAATAGCGCTTCGAAGGCCGCGCTTCGTCCTCCAAGAAGGCTCCGGGAATTGATTCAATCAACAATAGGTTGTTCAAACAGCTTCCGGAGAACTTCATCAGATATTTGCTGGATATTATCAACAGCTCAATCACGCTGAAATATTTCCCTCGAAGATGGAAGCATGCAGTAGTTGTCATAATTCCGAAACAGGACCAGAACCTGCTGTTTCCCCAGAATCATCGTCCGATTAGTCTGCTTTGCTCAACGGCTAAGTTAGCTGCAAAGTGTTGTGCTGCAAAGACTAACAGAAGAACTTGAAGAACAAAATGTTCTGCCTGACGGACAATTCGGCTTCAGGAGGGCAATCTCCACCTAGCTACAGTACCTGAGACTGGTTGAAAATTCCATCTTACAGCTGAACAACAGGAAGACAGTCCATCTCTTCCTCCTGTATATTTCGAAAGCCTTCGACCGAGTCTAGCACGAAGGCCTGCTACACAAAATGCTCGATTTCGAACTGCGTCGTGGTTTGGTCCGGTGGATCAGGTCCTTTCTGGAAGACAGAACATTTCAGGTCCGAATTGAAGTAACCCTGTCTCCTGCCAGGGAAATCCAAGCTGGATTGCCCCAGGGAGCTGTGCTGTCGTCACTACTGTACAGCCTTTACGTGATCGACCTTCCGAGGTTCAACCACGTGAAGGTTTCCCTTTACGCCGATGACACGGCTCTCCTCACCTTTTCCATGGGTCGGGCTTTGGCGGTCGTCTACATGCAACGCGCATTGGAACACTTCGAACGCTGGTACCTTGACTGGAAGATCCGGATGAATCCAGAAAAAACTCAGTCGATAGATTTGGGGAGATATTTCTCCAGACACAAGGGTCACGATCTCAGGCAGAGATATCGAATGGCAAACGCGAGTCGAGTACCTAGGTCTTTGGGTAAATTCCCGACTCACGTGGGCAAATCACATCAAGAGCAAAGTTCAGATGAGGATAACTAAACTCTATCCAGGTGGCTAATAGAAATTCAATGCTCAATCTCAAAAATAAGGTTTTATTATACAACACGATGTTCAAGCCTGCCATCACGTATGCTTCATGTGCTTGGGAACAAACCTCCCCGTCAAACCTCTCCATTTTGGAAAGGTTGCAAAACAAACTTCTCAGGATGCTGGTGAATGGTTCGTGCGGAATGACGCTATACGCAGATATTTGAAGCTGTCAACTATACGGCAGTCCATTCAGTCGAGGAATCAGAGAGTTTTCAAGTCAGCGGAAACTCATGATAACCCATTAGTTAGGGAAGCTGTAGATTACA